TATATATATATATATATATATATATATACATATATACATATATGCATATATATACACATCTATATACATATACACATAAATGCATACATATACATACATATGTATATATACATATATATACATATATGTATGTATATATGTATATATACATACAAATACACATGTGTGTATGTATGTGTGTATATATATACATATATACATACATATATGTATATATGTGTATATATACATATCTATGTATATGTATGTATTTATGTATATATGTATATAGATGTGTATATATATGTATGTATATATATGCATATATGTATATATGTGTATGTATATATGTGTGTGTGTGTGTGTGTGTGCGTGTGTGTGTATGTATGCGTGTGTGTGTGTGTGTATGTGTGCGCGCCTCGAATGTATGTATTTATGTGTATATGTATGTATGTATGTGTATATGTATATAGATGTGTATATATATGTATGTATATATATGCATATATGTATATATGTATATGTATATGTATATATATATATGTGTGTGTGTGTGTGTGTGTGTCCATATATATACATACACAGTGGTAAGCGATTTCTTGAGCGGTACACATTTTCGTCCTCGTTCATAAATCAATGAAACAGTTGAATACACAATGAATATAATTAATTAACACGAATTACTCATGAAAATTATAAACCCTAGCCCAAAGAACAACAAAAAAACATTGTCCCCATTGCCTTCCCTTATCAATCTCCTCCCGTCGTCAGGTAATGGCAACACTCGCAACGTCCATGTGCATGGTCGACATCGGGGCCATCATTGCCTTCAGCAGCCTGTCTCTTCCTCGCCTCACCGACCCGGACTCCGAGGATCTTGTGTTTGACACGGATCAAGCTGCCTTTTTCGGTTCGTGGTTTTGACTTTCGGTTCAAGGTCACGAAAGGCCTTGGCTGACCTTGCTTGGAATGTGACACAGCGATATGTTGGTCTTATCTATGAAGGGCTGGCCTTCATTTGATGCCGTTATGATTGATATCTGGTTTTGCTGTATTGTGAATGTAGTTATGTATTTTAGAATTTATTTTAATTTCTGCAGACATAGGTCTTATATTTTCTCTTCCTGTATGATGATGATCATTATTATCCCCATTATTGCTATTGCTACTATTCTCTAGTACTATTTATATCATCTAAATGCAATATTCCTTCCAGGCAGCGTGTCCAGCCTGGGGGCTCTGGCTGGGTCGCTCTTTGGCATCGTCCTGTTGGTGCGACTGGGGCAGCGGGTGACCAACCTCGTCGCAATCCCGCTTTCCTTCGCTTCGTGGATCGCCCTGGCCACGACGCCGACCATTTGGCTCGCCTTGCTTGCCCGGTTTGTGCAAGGGCTGGCGACGGGCCTCATGGCTTTGTCCTGCAGCATTTACGTCGTGGAACTGTCTCATGCAGAGATACGAGGTCGACTAGTGGCTATAGTGGACCTTTCGAGGCAGCTTGGGGTGCTCTTCGGCTACGGTTTAGGCTGCACGACCCTCAGCTGGCGACAACTAGCGCTGGTGTTCGCCTTGACCAACACCATCATCCCATTCATAGGCCTAGCGTGTCTCCCCAGCTCTCCCAGATGGCTCGCATCGAGAGGTCGTATGGAGGAAGCAAACAAGGCTCTGGCTTTCTTTCGAGGATCGACATATGACTATCAACCTGAAATGCAAGATATCCGCAACCAGCTCGACAAAGTTAAGAGCAGTCACAAGAGCACACTTGGTCAACTGAGGCAAATGAGAGAATCTTTTATATTACGCTCCATGATTATTTTGAGTATTCTTATGTTTGGAATTCAATACAATGGTCTTTCTGCAATTGGGATTTACCTTGTCACGATTTTTAATTCGGCCAACGTCGGCCTTAATTCATACACATGCACAGTGATCGTAGGAGTGCTAAGAGTCCTGGGAAACGCCGTTTATCTTCTCGTAATCGACCGTGCGAGGCGCACACTGATTTTCTTGGTTTCCTGCTTAATGTGTGGCGTCTGTCTGATTCTTCTCGGAGGATATTTCCTCGACCAGACTCACACGGGCGTCCTCAGCAGCCAGGGATGGATACCGCTCGTGACTCTTTCGCTTTTCACCTTTTCCTCGAGCATATCCTATCCGTCGTTGGCTCTGTTGCGAGGCGAACTCATCCCTACCTCAGTGCGCTCCGTAGCCGTGCCGATTCTGTACTTACTGTACTTCACAGCAATGTTCGCATCGTCCCAGACGTATCCTTATATGGTAATGTACCTGGGTGAGCACGGGACGTTCTGGGTGTACGCGGCCGTGAATATTGCTGTTGGTTGCGTCGGGGCGTCGCTTCTGCCCGAGACTCGAGGTCGGACGCTCGAACAGATCACGGTGAGCCAACAGGAGAAGGAAGAATCAAGAAGACTAAACAAGGCGTCGTCCAAGCAAGAGAGTGAAGCCTGAGGCTTGCTTTGTTAAGCTGAAGTTTCAGGGAATTATTGCATGAAAGCTGTCGATGGCCTGCAAATTGTAACGGTTAATGCAAGCTTTATGGAATATACGGTTGGATACTGAGCTTTATTAGTGTGTATATATATATATATATATATATATATATATATATATATATATATATATATGTGTGTGTGTGTGTGTGTGTGTGTGTGTGTGTGTGTACTTTTTATGTACGTATATCTGTATCGAATATATAAACAAACATATATATGTATATATATATGTATATATATATATATATATATATATATATATATATATATATATATATATATATATGTATATATATATATATATATATATATATATATATATATATGTGTGTGTGTGTGTGTGTGTGTGTGTGTGTGTGTGTGTGTGTGTGTGTGTGTCTGTGTGTAAAATATACGGTTGGATATATATATATATATATATATATATATATATATATATATATATATATATATATATATATATATACACGTGTGTGTGTATGTGTACTTTTGTATGTATATATATCTATATAAATAAATAAACAAACATATGTATATATATAGATATATGTAAATATATGAAAATATATGTATATATATAAATGCACGCACACACACACACACAACACACACACACACGTATATATATATATATATATATATATATATATATATATATATATATATATATATATATATGTATATATATATATAGATAGATAGATAGATATAGATATACTTGTATATATATGTGCATGTATACGTATACGTATATGTACACACGCACGCACACACATGATGAATAGGGAGAGTTGGCAGCAGGAAGGGCATCCGTCTGTTAAAAAAAGCCGGGACTACGATGTAGATCATTCCACTGTGGAAACCCCTGAGAGGAGAAGCAGAAAGAAAACAAATACACACACATATATGCGTGTATGTACTTTTATACATATAAATAAACAAACACATACATACACACACACACACATATATATATATATATATATATATATATATATATTTTTTTTTTTTTTTTTTTTTTTGTACAGCCATTCATTCCAATGCAGGACATAGGCTTCTCTCAATTCACTATTGAGAGGTTATATAGCAGTGTCAGTGTGATTGGATGCCCTTCCTTATCAACCGCAGTTCGCACGCTAACACTTGTGCCACGGCGGTGAATTCCCCTATGACACCTGCGTTTTGACTTCTCAAGGCGATATGTGTGTGTGTGTGTGTGTGTGTGTGTGTGTGTGTGTATACATGCATATACATAATATATGTATATATATATATATATATATATATATATATATATATATATATATATATATATATATATATATATATATATATATATATATGCATGCACTACACACACACACACATATATGAAGAGAGAGAGAGAGAGAGATTGATCTATATGTTTCGACAGGTTCAATGAAATTAATTTCTAATACAGTGAATACTTTATTTCCCAGAAATCCTCACAATATCAAGTCTCTCGTAGACAAATATGCCATAACCCACATCTGTTTCACAATTTATTCCCCATTATGCATACGACACGATTTTTTTTGTGTGTGTGGAAACAGGATAATTTTTTTTTAGTATCATGACTGTGTTTCATTTGCAAATTTATTGTTTTCTTGCATCATATTTCCTCTGCTAGGCGCACAAGGTAAATCTGGAAAATCAGTTTTAGTTTGTAAAAATTTAAAACAAGAATGTGTGCTTCAACTGTTTGTTTACAACTGATATATACATATATTCAATTCCAGACGGAATTAGATGAAATGACTATAATATAACCATAATAACTATAAATATAATGTATATATGTATATATACTGTACATATATGTATAATAAATATATATATATCTATATATGTGTATATATGTATATACATGCATATACATATACATATATACAATATATATTATTGGGTGTGGTTATGCAGACGTTATTAGATGAAATTACCATAATAACCATAGCTATATATAAATATATATATACATGTTTATCAATTTATCTATTTACTGATTATCATTACAGAGGAAACATAACAGTAGCCGCCGAAAATAAACGGCACAAAACTAAAACTATTAACAATTAGGGCGCAAAAACGCGTCGCCGAAGGTTCCTTAGTTCCCTGCATCGCATTCTTATTTCGTTTGGCCTTTCCCCCTCCCTTCTTTAGGGTACTAAAACTTGGCAGTGCGATATTCGAGCACCAAGTCTCCAAGAAGGCAAGGTCGGAACCCTAACAGTCGTCGTCAGGAGTGTTTTCCTCAATCCACGAAATGTAATTGGGCACACGGGTGAACACTCCAGGTGAGTTCTCCTTGGCACACTGATCTCCAAAGCTGACCACGCCCGTGAGCACCCAACGCCCGTCGGCAGCGAGGGAGATAAGGGGGCCTCCGCTGTCACCCTGGGCCAGTCGAGGAGAGGCGTCGGTTATTGGGTGTGATTATGCAGTGGCGCAATAAATGGAAAATAAACAAGAAAATAGAGGCGATGGGAAGAAAGTTGGATATTTAGATAGGTAAACCTGAGAATTTAGCTGACACATTTTGATAACCAGTGCAAAATGTGTGAGAACACTTTATGGTGCGATTGGATTCACAATAAACTTTATAATGGCTTCCTTACAGTGGACATTTCGATACATTAATTAAGACTCAAAGGTCAACTGTAGTGCATCAAGTAGGAGTGCGTACCTGGCATGCGTCCTTTTTAGGTGTGTACGTGCAAACCATGTTATCTGTGATGTCGTAGCGATCGTAATAGAGCTGATTACACCAAGCGTTGCTTATGTAGTCCACTGCTACCTTTTGCAGAATAGTGGCAGTAGTTCCCTCTGGTGGAGGAAAAATGTTAGGCTTTAGAAATTTTCCTAGCCCCCCCTCCTCTTTCTCTTTCGTCCAGTTGCATCCTTAGCAAACTTTAAGAGAACGTATCTTATAATGAGCTGTTTTTACATGTATAACATCTAAGATCTCATTATGGATTTAAAGCTAAACTCACTGAAAATACAAACGTATCCAATAACGACGAATACGTCGTTATTGTTTCTTTACATGTTGGAAGCTTTCGGTACAGTGGCTCATGCTATTTTACTTACCGAATTACACCATAATGATGTGAGAGGTATTTCCAACAAGCCATCATGTTAGCAAGTGTGGACTATTTAATTTGATGTAATCCCTTTGTATCATTCTAGATCAAATAAATCATTTAATTCTCAAAATTCTCTATCCATCTGTCTATCTATTTATATATCTACCGGCCTAACTATCAGCCTACCTGACTCTCTGTCTACCTCCTTTCCTTCTCTCTTATATATATATATATATATATATATATATATATATATATATATATATATATATATATATGCATGCATGTATGTCTATATATCGTGTATGTATGTATGTATGTATGTATGTATGTATTTATTTATTATATATATATATATATATATATATATATATATATATATATATATATATATACATACATATATATACATATATATATATATATATATATACATATATATATATATATATATATATATATATATATATATATATATATATATAATATATATATATATGTATATATATATATATATATATATACATACATATATATATACATATATATATATATATATATATATATATATATATATATATATATATATATATATATATATGTATATATTCTACATACAGACATTAACAGTGTTATAGGAAAAAAGGATGATTGGATATCACCTCAATGATATTCAGTTGCTTATACTTCTTTCTTTTCGCGGCCTTTTCCTTACTGCTCTCCACGTATACGTTCATAATGCATATGGAAGGGACTCAAAACTACCGATACTCACGCCAAGTAGTAGTGCCCCATCCCGTAGTAATGCCCTTGCCCGACACCGGGACCTCGGAAGGTCTGGCGAGGCATATGGGTGCCACTGTTGGGCTAAACGTCGCAGGGGAAGATAGTTTCAGTAATGCTATGTCATTATCCTGTGTGGGAGATGAGCATTGCCTTGTAAATTAACTGAATTTCGAAACGAGTGGTACATGTACTATCCACTGTAGTTTTATTGTGAAATTTTAAAGATGGTTCCGCAAGCGATCAGTCAGCAAGGAGTCAATCAGTAGCTCCTACGTGACCTTATGATTTCCACGTTGCTTAAATTTTCACGATTCTTTGCAAGTGTTGTTATTATTGGTACTGTTGTTATTGTTATTGATATTATGGTTTTCAAAATACTAATAGCTAAAAAGAAAGAAAGAAAAAAAAATCAAGGAAATGGTGATTGACTTTGTGACTAAGCACTTTTGTACTCATTACATGTGTGTAAATACAGTGATTAAAATAGATCACAATGGACATGACATGCATATCAAGGCATTTAAGAGTTAAAAAGGCAACAGCAGCTGTACTTCGGTAACTGACAATCTCATACTCTACGGTCGAATTACGAGTGGCAATCAGCAGGAACTGACCAGAGTAAAGCCGTCGAAATCCGGATGGACCGTCACACTCTCTGCTTCTATCTCGTAGCTGCCCTCTTCGTTTACGGTCCTATCGTGATCTCCAAAGTACACAGTGCTGGCAGTGAATCTGCAGAACAGTCATTGCTTATAAACTCCAGAAGAGTAAGTTTTAGGGCAGCTGCATATACTCTTCAACGGTCTTTATCAATACAGGTAGTAACCAGGTAGCATAAAGGGTATATCATATAGTCTCATTTTACACAATCATTATTGTATTTTACCTACACGAGTCGCACAATATATCAATAGTAACAGAGAGAACTTACCCACTCATGTAACAGTGCCCGGCTGTTATCACCCAACGATGCTTGATGAGGGAACCGCCACACCTACCTCCCCAGCCCAGTTTGATGCCAACCTGAAGTATTTTTTTTTTTAACTTGACTGTATGTTTGTTGTTGTTCTCCCTCTCTTTTTCGTGTGAATGCATTTATTCCTGTACCCATTACACGTGTGCACCTAAGAATGTTGAGTATGTTACTCTGTGAATAGTATTAGTATCCGTTCATGAACGTAAATCCATATACAATGGTGGCATCTGATGATTAATGTTTGTATATAACCATGCATGTGACACAAACTAGCATGACAATATGCTTCATAATAAAGACATTTCAGGAATCAGAAATACTCTAATATCCCTAGCCTTACTTCTCATAGAAATAGTAAAATGGCTATAGGCTGTTAAATTTCTGACTGGCTGAATATAAACCACCGACCTGCCAAGGGAATTCCCCGCGGTTCGCGTCCTGGCCTCCTACGATCCTTGGAATCGTGATCTGACTGAGGCCGCAGTTGCCTAGTAGAAAAAAAAAGAGAAATAGGAAACAAAAGTTATTTGAGGAGTCGACCAAGTCGGATACATAGATATGTGGATTATTCTCAATGTGATGTTTGGTTTTTAAAAACATTTGTTTTTTACTGAATTTGGTGGCCTCATGTATTACTGGAAGGTTAGTTAACAGTCACATTTTATTATAACCGGGAAATTTTGATGCATTCGAAGTGATGATATAATTTGATCGACTGGGAAAGTAAGAGGGTAGCTTCGGAATCAACTGAAAGCAAGTTATGTCTGAAGATGGCAATCTAATAAGCTATAGTGGTAAACCAGGTGGAACAGAAACAGCTGTCGTGAGGTAAGACTGATATGAATAGAAAAAATCAGTTTATGAATGAGACAGGTAATGACTTCGTGAGATAGATTCCAACAAATGGAGACGTAGGCATCTACCGATATATGTAAGTTGACCAGTTGTGTCCAGTGAGGAAAAACGCTATTGTTTCAGTATCAACTAGGGAATTAATCCGTGCGCCAATTTATTTTCTATGCATACGATTATTTCCAGTCGTATTAAATAACCGTAGATATTTGGCTTGCAATTGAGAGGACGTTCTAGGAAGAATAACTCTTCCTGCACTACAGTCTTAGAATAGGAAAATAAGAGATAGTCCTAAGGTCACCTGGTAAACAGAAGATTCTTTTTATCCCGCGTGAGCCCTAATTGAAGGAGACTACTGCAATTTAAGATCATTAAGAAGAATCGAGAATCCCAGCCTTGCGTTCCGTTGGATATTTTTGTGCGTTGAAATTTTGTCTAACGAAACGCAGAGCAGATTTTGAGAGCAAAATGCGTTAACGTCTCCCCTCTGGGCGTGGAAACGTTGGAAAAAGAAACGAGTATTATTGGAACGAATGATCAAGTTGCTATTAGAATAGATTGCATTTTATGCCTCGTTTTTCAGGAACCTGGACTCATGATGTCAGAGCAAAATGGCATTTGGTTATATATTTAGTGAAAGATGCTATCAGATGGAATATGAATTAAGATAAAATTACACAGAGAAAGTGTACTGTATGTCAGGTTTATAAATCTTTGTAAATTCAGGGGTCTGTTTTATGTCTGATATATATGTAGCACATAAGAACACGCATACTTACTGCAAAAAAGTCGACCCTGACTGGCTGCTGCCGTTGTCACAGTAGGATTGGTTGTTGCTGTAGGCGGAAGTGCATCGGTAAATGTTGGTTGTGGTGCTGGCAGGACAGGTGGGGGTAGGGGTGGTGCAGGTGGGAGTGGAGGGGGTGGAGGGGGTGCAGGTGGTGCTGGTACAGGTAGTGGTGGAGGGAGAGTTACTGGCGCTACAGTTGGAGGAGGGGGTGCTAATGGTGCTGTAGTTAATTGAGTGAATTCTGGAAAAACTGCCTGTGGTAATGAGCCTGTTGTTTGTGCTGCGGTGAAAACTGCTGGGGTGGATGATAAGGTTGTGCGTGATGACTGAGATGCTGATGAGGAGGATGAGGAAGTCGGCACCGGGTCTGACATCTCAAATGTTGCTTGAAGTGATGACGATTCTGGGGAGGATGTTGTAGGAGAACCACTCATAAGAATCAAAGGTGAACTTGTTATCGAGTGAGAGAGATCACTGATAGTTGCTGCGGTTGAATGGGATGACACAAAAATTGTTGTACTGCGAGTTGTAGACGTGGAAATTTCCTTACTTGAAGCTGAATTCGTTGGATCAGTCGCGACCGAAGCTGACTGACCTCCTGGGCCCTCTCCTAAGGATGAAGCCAAGTCTGAGGAAAGAGAAGTCAGGATAACTTGATTCTCTATCTCACCCGAAGCCTCCGAAGTTGCTGTCGGTCTGTGCGAGCTCATGGCATGGCTCTCGGAAGTCGTCGGGCTCATGGAAGTCCCTGGAGCTGTATGGAAGTCTGTCGTCGCGGGACTTGGAGTCAGGGACGATGGCTGAAGCGTGGGTGGTGGAAGTGGCTGAGGTGTGGGCGGTGGAGATGCCTGAAGTGTGGGTGATGATGGCTGAGGTGTGGGTGGTGGAGTTGGCCGAGGTGTGGGTGATGGAGATGGCTGGACTGTGGGTGATGATGGCTGAGGTGTGGGTGGTGGAGATGGCCGAGGTGTGGGTGATGGAGATGGCTGGACTGTGG